CACCACAACGCCTGGCTATTTTTTGGTTACAGCCGTCATTGTTGTTTGGCAGGTCCATGCTGGATTCGAACCTGCCAGCTCGGGTGTATGTGGCTGGCCCCTTAGCTGCTTGAGCCACAGGCGCCGAGCCAAGAATTCCATTCTTAATTCTGATTAATTGTCAGCACACCAATTGTTTAGAAAGAAACATATTGGAAAGCATCAGAAAGTGAATTGGAAACTAGTTATCACCATTTTTTGGGCAAAATAATCTGGTATCAGGAGCTTTACTGACATAGTTTTTGTTTTCGTTTTTTTGGGGAGGACAAGAGTCTCACTATGCTGCCCTTGGTAGTGTGCCATGGCATCACAGCTCATAGCAACCTCAAACTTGTGGGCTAAAGTGATTCTCTTGCCTCAGCCTCCCAAGTAGCTGGGACTACAGAAACCTGCCACAAGGCCCGGCTACTTTTTGGTTGCAGTTGTTATTGTTGTTTAGCAGGCTCAAGCTGGGTTCGAACCTGCTAGCCTTTGGGGTATGTGGATGGTGCCATAACCACTGTTCTACAGGCGCTGAGCTTACTGACAGTCTTATTACATCTTTAAAACAACACGTAAGGGGGAAAATAATTCTCCAAGTTCTCACAAGGGAGTTTGAAGTTGACATAGTTAAGTAGCTTGCTTAAGATTTCCTTGGATCTAAACCAGAGCCAGTCTAGAACCAACAGACCTCCAATTTATCTGAAATGTTAAATAAGATGGTTTACTCTAAATTTGAAAGAAACAATTCAATATCTGAATGGATTTGTGTGTCAAGTTGTCACCTAATCATACTTAGCACTCAATTATTCTTCCACATTGCTTCCAGGTCCACGGCACACAATTCAGACCCACATTCCAGTCTTTGCTGACATTCTGGTTCTTTTTTTTTTTTTTTTTTTTTTTTTTTTTGAGACAGAGCCTCAAGCTTGTCCCCCTGGGTAGAGTGCCGTGGCATTACAGCTCACAGCAACCTCCAACTCCTGGGCTCAAGCGAGTCTCCTGCCTCCGCCTCCCAAGTAGCTGGGACCACAGGCGCCCGCCACAACGCCCGGCTATTTTTTGGTTGCAGCCGTCATTGTTGTTTGGCGGGTCCGGGCTGGGGATTCGAACCCGCCACCTTAGGTGTACGTGGCTGGCGCCTTAGCCGGTTGAGCCATAGGCGCCGAGCCGACATTCTGGTTCTTAATTCAGGGGTCAGGAGCTGAGGTTCCACTGCCCTCCCTCCCCAGCCTCCTGGAATGACTGCCAAGTAATGACAAGTGCTCTTCTCTGATTCCACGGTTTTTGTAAAAGGGTAGGTTGACATATCAAACCATTAATTTAATCTGGCTGGAGCAAAGTTTTAACATATTAGCTCAATAGTCTTGAAACATTTCAACAATCTTAAAACCAGGGACATTTCCAAAGATGGCATGTTTAATGAATTAATTTCCTCTAGGGTGGGTTTCATTGGAAAATCTCATCAATGGGGAGTGCCTAGAACGGATTATATGGACTTAATCTAGTCAAGGTAGGTGGAGCTGACAGGAAGTGGGCGGTCCAGAGGCCTCAGGTTCTGCATAAATAGACATCACAGTTCCTCTCGAGGCCACTCTGACAGCAGATCCTAGATGAGGAGGCTCCAGGCTGGAGACTGGAAGGAGGTGAGTTCTCAGAGGCATCTATGGTGCTCAGGGACTGGACTGGGCAGGGGCTGGTAGGAGGCACATTGGGGTTTCTATTCCTAGAGCATGAGAGCATGAGCTCTGGGTTATTGTGAAAGCAACGGATCTCCTTTGTACCCATTATGGGTTTTTTTTATATAGAGTCACTTTGTCACCCTTGGTGGAGTGCCGTAGTGTCATAGCTCACAGCAACCTCCAACTCTTGGGCTCAAGCGATTCTTTTGCCTCAGCTTCTCAAGTAGCTGGGACTACAGGTGCCCGCCACTACACCCACCTATTATTATTTTTTTTTAGAGATGGGGTCTCTTGCTCAGGTTGGTTTCAAACCTGTAATATCAAGGCAATCCACTCCCCGCAGCCTCCCAGAGTGCTGGGATTATAGGTGTGAGCACCGCGCCAGGCCCTTGGCACCCATAATTAACTGAGTCATCACTGAAGTCTTTTATAAAATGGAATAATGTTAACATACTCATGCTCAGGGTGTATGTCAGTTCATTTTTTCTACTTGTCTCACTCTGTCACGCAGGTTGGAGTGCCCCAATGTGATTGTGGAGTTTTACTTTTTATTACTTTATTTATTATTTATTTGAATTTTTTTTTTCTTTTTGAGACAGAGTCTCACTTTGTCGCCCTGGGTAGAGTGCTGTGTCATCATAGTTCATAGTTCATAGCAACCTCAAACTGTTGGGCTCGTGTGCTCCTCTGCCTCAGCCTCCCCAGTAGCTAGGACTACAGGTGCCCAGCAAAACACTCCACTAGTTTCTCTGTTTTATTTATTTGTTTATTCATTTAAGTTTCTCTGTTTTTAGTAGAGACAGGATCTCCCTCAGGGTCTTGCTCTTGCTCAGGCTGGTCTCAGACTGGAACTCATGAGATTCCACCTGCCTGGGCCTCCCAGAGTGCTAGGATTATAGGCCTGAGCCTCCGGCACAGCTGGATTTTTACTTTTTATTTTTATTTATTTTTACTTATTTATTTATTTATTTATTGAGACAGAGCCTCAAGCTGTCACCCTGGATAGAGTGCATGACATCACAGCTCACAGCAACCTTCAGCTCCTGGGCTTAAGTGATTCTTTTGCCTCAGCCTCCTAAGTAGCTGGGACTACAGGCGCCCACCCCAATGCCTGGCTATTTTTTGGTTGTAGTTGTCATTGTTGTTTGGCAGGCCTGAGCTGGATTCAAATCTGCCAGCTCTGGTGTATGTGGCTGGCGCCTTAGCTGCTTGAGCTACAGGCAACGAGCTGATTTTTACTTTTTAAGAGTGACTCAAGGCCTAGACTAGAGGATCCCTGGAGGCTAGGAGTTCTAGACTAGTCTAAGCCCTATACCAAGACCTTGAGCATGAGAGCATAGCATTTAAAAAAATGAGTCGGGTGTGGTGGCAGGTGACGCATTCTCAGCTCTTGAGGAACCTGAGGCAGGATTCCTTGAGCCCAAGGGTTTGAGGCTGCAATGACCTAGGCTGAGGCTACTGCACTACAGGTGGGGCAACAAAGCAAGATCCTGCTTGAAGGGGGAGTCACTATGTTTCCCAGGCCAGCCTTGAATTCTTGGCTCCCGCCCATAGACACGTTATCAGTTTTTTAAGTAGAGGTGTGCAGGGGCAGCACAAGCAGACTCACAGTAAAAGTACTTTTAATACCCAGAAATTCACGCAGAGTTTTCTCCCTATGATTTTTAAAACTAGGTTTTAAATTGACAATTGAAAACTGTAGGGCAGCGACTGTGGCTCAAAGGAGTAGGGCGCTGGCCCCATATGCCAGAGGTGATGGGGTTCAAATCCAGCCCTGGCCAAAAATTGCAAAAAAAAAAAAAAAAAAATTGTATATAACTTACAGCAAGATTTACGAAGTATATATACTTTGTGGAATGGTTACATTGAGCTAATTAGCATATGCACTGTGTCACATACTTACATTTTTTTGTCTTGACAACTCTGAAGATCTACTTTCTAAACAATGTTGGAGTATAGGTTACATTGTTTTGTTTTGTTTTTACAAGACAGAGTCTCCTGCTGTCACCCTGGGTAGAGTGCTGTGGGGTCATAGTTCACAGCAACCTCCAACTTGAGTTTAAGTGATCCTTTTCACTCAGTTTTTCTATTTTTAGTAGAGACAGGGTCTTGCTTTTGCTCAGACTGTGTCAAACTTGTGAGCTGAGGCAATCCACCCGCCTTAGCCTCCCACAGTGCTAGGATTATAGGCAAGCCACTGTGCCCAGCCCATAATAGACATCTTGAATTTCATCAGTCTGGCTGAAATTTTGTGTGCTTGAACCATCATCTTCGCACTCCATTCCCAGCCCCTGGAACCACCACTCTGTTCTCTATTCTAGGAGCCCCACCACCTTGACTCTGCACACTGATTTCATTGCCTGTGAGTTGAGTATATACCCAGAAAGCAGGTTGTTGGACCACAAGGTAGCTCTATTTTGAAATTTTTTTGTTTGTTTTAGAAACAGAGTCTCACTACGTGACCCTCTGTAGAGTACTGTGGCATCACAGCACACAGCAACCTCCCACTCTCGGGCTTAACTGATTCTCTTACCTCAGCCTCCCAAGTAGCTGGGACTATAGGCACCCACCACAATGCCCTGCTATTTTTTTGTTGCAGTTGTCATTGTCCTTTAGTGGGCCCGGGTGGGGTTAGAACCTGCTGGCCTCAGTGTATGTGGCTGTCACTGTAACCACTGTGCTACGGGTGCCAAACCACTCTTCCCCCTTTCAGATGCCTTCCCCCTTCTTCGAGGCTCAGGGGTCCAGGCTTTCCAATGCCCTTTCCCAAGGCCCTGCTGCCAACTCTCCCCTCTGCTCACCTTGGCTAGTAGGTAGGGCTGCCCTACAGCCAGCGCACTTGGATTTTAGTGGATGTCTGGACAGTGACTCTTGCCTATTGAAGCTGGTTGAGGACATGGGGAAAAAGAAAAAATACTTCCTAAATTCCCATTTCTTCAAAATTTAAAAGAGCTTTTTAGACTTTAAATCCATGTTCTGGAATGAGATTAGAAATAGATGAATCCATACAAATAGAAATCAGATCAGTGGTTGCCTGGAGCTGAGGGAGGTGAAGGTGGGGTGTGACTGTCCAAAGGCCCTGAGGTTCCCTACAGGGTGATGAAAAACTTTTCGAACTAAATAATGCTGATGTTTGCTCAGTTCGAGTAAAGAGGTAAACTAATCTGGCTCCTTCCCATTTCCCTCAGTGTTCTGAACAAACAGGTAAATTCTGACTGAGAAAAACCCAAGTAGACCTGTTTAGAGGAGTCTCGGGCATCGGCTTCAGGGAGACACTGACTGGGAGATTCTCCAGGAAAGATGGCCATAAACGGAACCTCCTTACCGGGTCCAGGAAAATTCTGCAATAGCCTTGGGTCTGAGCCACCACAGTTGGTGTCACCCCAAGGAACCCCCCTGGAAAATATCAACTATGATGCTGAAACTTGGCACCTGAAGTTCAGAAGTTTCACCTGCTCAGAGGGGGATGACCCAATCAAGGACCTGCAGAGACTCACCTCGCTGTGCCATCTGTGGCTGAGGCCTGACCTCCACACCACAGAGCAGATTCTTGACCAGCTGGTGTTGGAGCAATTCCTAATATCTACCTCCCCACACCTCCAGGCCATGGTGAAGGAAAATGGTGTGAGGAGTTGCAGAGACCTGGAGGATATGCTAAGAAACAACATGAGACCCAAGAAATGGGTGAGTGGGACCTTCATGATTGGTGTGTGTATATGTGTGGAGGATTGGGCCCAAAGGGGTAGGAGGACTAGAAGGGACACAGAGGATTCTTCTAGGTCAGGGGCTCTAATCTGAGGAGAGGTTGCCCCACTTCGCAATGTCAGGAGATATATTTGGGTAGTTACAATGGGGAGCAGAGGAGACACTTGCTGACCATTCTACCATGCTCAGGACAAGGAAAATTGTCCAGCCTCAGTGTCCCTCATGCTGAAACTGAGACACCCTGCTCTGGGGGATGCACAGAGCCTCCTCAAATGTGGGAGGCCAACATCAAAGAAATGATTGGGAAATATTCCTGATCTAATGTAGGGAGTGAGGCCAGAGAGGGACTGAAGGCAACTGCAGATATCCTTACTGGAGGCAGGTAAATGGTAATATTCTGGATTCAAGACTGCATCTCCAGGTCCTCATGGCAGCTGCTCAGCCCGCGCTGGAAAGATGCCACAGGCAGATTGACTTGGGCTTTTCTCATTGGGTTTGGGGACCATTTCACCCCTAGCACAGCATATCAATGAAGCTTCTGTAATGTTCTAGGCACAAGGCAGGTGTAGGCTTAGAGAAGATACAGCTCAGAGAAGGGTGCTATAGCCACAGAGATATTCTGCATCAAGGAGGTCAGACTTGACACAAGTAATGACAGGGAAGTTCCGACTGTCATGTGGGAGAAATGCAGGGCCTGGGAGAGCCACACTCATGTCCTCAGGGTGTCTGACTGTGTTTCTCTCCACAGTCCGTAGTCACCTTCCAAGGAAAGGAATTTCTGGTGCACGAGTCAGATGCTGAGATGGCCGATGCTGAAGCCAGTGGCAGGGATGACGTGGTGGACTTGTCCAGCAAGCACAGATCCTCCATGAACCATACACATGTAGAGGTAAGCCTGGTTTGTTCAGAATTTGGGCGCTTCCAGGGGTGAGGGCACTGTCATGGGGCAGGTGAGTATGAGGCCATGGTCTGTGGAGAGGCCCAGGAGGAGGCCCAGGGGAAACTGAGTATTGTTCATGCCCCCAGGAGACAGGCAGAGGGGGGAATTGGACCCACAGATCATGGGTGTGCTCTGCCCCTGAACTCTTCTGAGCTCTTAGAGAGAATGAGGCTGCCTCCATATTTGCACCTCCTATGGAGGCTTTTAGCATTCAGGGTGGGTACAGAAGTAGTCTCTGAGTGAGTGGGGGCCAGGACAGGGAGCCACAGCTAGATGAACTAAAGCTGCTGATTCCCCACCACCAGTCCCACAGAAACATTGCATGAAATAATTGGTCAACTGACACATTTCTTGAAAATTATCTGCTTTTCAATTCAAGGGCTGATTCCCAACTGGGCTAGTTTTGCTCCCCAGGAAATACTTGGCAATGTCTGGAGATATTTTTACCATCCCTCTCAGTGGGGTTGGATTGGGTGTTAATAGCATCAGGTGGGGAGAGGCCAGGGATGGGGCGGCACAGTCTACATGGCAGGGGAGGCCTCAAGAGGACAGATCCAGCCCACACGTCAACAGGGTCAAGGCTGACAGGTCTTGACCCCAGAGTCATGCTGCTTCTAGTGTCAGGAGCAGGGAGAAGTTGGAATGACTGGGAGACATTTGCTCAAAGAAGTAAAAGTGTAAAAACTGTAAGGCATGGGACACGGTTTAGAGGTCCAGTGAGTACAGACTGGGAAGAGACTCAGAAATGAGGAGGTGATGTTCATTTGGGGTGATGGGTGGTCCCCTGGGAAGTATGGACACATCCATAGAAGTGTGTGATTAGACAAGTTGGTACATCAGGTCAGGAGGAGACAGGGATGTCCACATCCCACCCAGTGTGGCTGTGGCAGTAATTCCCACTGGTTACCCATTGTCAGGGAGAAGACTTACTTCTTTCTGGAGAAGGTGACCTGGAGAGTGTGAGACCCAGGCAGACATTGGAGAAGGATCTGGAGGAAGACAGAAAAGAGGAAACAGCAATTAAATCTCAAGAGCCTCAGTGTCCCCAAGGTCCTGGTGAGTTGAAGACTTGGCCCCAAGGAGGGTGGTGCCTCATCATCCCTTGGGGAAATCATTTGCATTGCCAAAGCTCCTCTGTTAGCCCCTGGCCAGAGGTCCACCAGGCCACGCTCAGGCTGTGAGCTTGGCAGGAGCTTCTCAGCCAACCTTAGTGTTGAAAATGAACTTGGTATCACTGAAGTGCTCTACATTATTTTTTATTGTATTTATTTTTATTTTTTTCAAAGTGCTCTTCATTAAACATCATGTGTGAAGGCTGGGTTTGGTGGCTCACGCCTATAATCCTAACACTCTGGGAGGCTGAGGTGGGTGGATTGCTTGAGCTCAGAAGTTCAAGACCAACCTGAGCAAGATCAAGACCCTGTCTCTAAAAATAGCCAGCTGTTGGGCAGTGCCTGTGGCTATAAAGGGTAGGTTGCTGGTTCCATATGCTGGAGGTGGCAGGTTCGAACCCAGCCCCAGCCAAAAAAATTAAAAAATAAAAAAAGAAGTAGCCAGGTGCTATGGCAGGCGCCTGTAGTCCTAGCTACCAGGGAGGCAAAGGCAAGGCAATTGTTTTGAATCCAAGAGTTTGAGGTTGCTGTGAGCTATGATGTCACAGTATTCTACCACGGGTGATAAAGTAAGACTCTGTCTCAAAAATAACCCAAAAAATTGGGTGTGGAATTTGTTTCTCCAGCAGATTCTGTGAGGGCAAAGGATAGGAAGGAGCCCCAACAAGAAACATGTCTGAAACCTGTGGATGCCGTCACCCCTCCCCCCAGAGTTTCAGAGAGAGAAGTATCCACTCAGAGTGGGAATGGAGGACATTCTCAGAGTCTGAGACGTTCCAAAAGAAGAAAGATGAATAGCACCTCTACTTCCCAAGAAGAGCCTCAAGGGGAAGTCCCCCATCTGGATAGCAGGGAACCCCCAGCACAGGATGGGAGGGATTCAGCTCCCTCACCAGGTACTGGGGAGGCTGTTGCTCATGCTCCTGGTCGAGAAAACTTTGAATGTGGAGAGTGTAATAAAAAGTTTCCTTATGAGTCTCAGCTCGTCATCCACCAGAGGGCACATTCGGGAGAGAGGCCTTTCACATGCTCCTGTGGGAAGGGCTTCCTGCAGCCTTCAGACCTCAGAGTTCACCAGCGAATTCACACAGGTGAGAAGCCCTACACGTGTGGCATCTGCAGCAAGAGGTTCACCCACCAGTCCACTTTGTATGGTCATGAGAGGATCCACACAAAAGAGAGACCATACTCCTGCAAATTCTGCAAGAGAAGTTTCAGCCACAAGGGAAACCTCAACGTTCACCAGCGCATTCACTTGGGATTGAGACCCTTTGAATGTTCAGAGTGCAAAGCCACCTTCCGTCAGCTGGGCACTTTCAAACGCCACCTGACTATACACTCAAAGAAAACCTCCCACTGATTCCATAATCATCAGTCTTTGGCCTCAAGAACAAGGTGACTGAGGAGTCCTGAGTCATGTTACAAAATGACATGAGACACATAGAGTACTACTTATAGATATCTGGCACACAACAGAGTTCTGTAGATACTCATCCCCAGTATCTCTGAATAAACAGTTATCTTTCCTTCCCATGGACTCTTGCTTCTTGTTTTATTGTGCCTACTGTTTTCTTCCATATAGGTATTAAAATTTTTTCTATTGAAGTTTTTCCAATGAATGTGACATCTCATTAATTTTCACTATTTTTGTAACAGAGGCAGCTGATTTACCTGCTTTTACCCATTATCCAGATTGCCTAGGTAGAAAGCCAGATTACACAATGCCTGGTGGCATGTGAATTTCAGATAAATATATATATATTTTATTTTTATTTATTTATTTATTTTACAGTTTTGGCCAGAGCTGGGTTTGAACCCTCCACCTCCGGTATAGAGTCTCACTTTATCACCCTCGGTAGAGTGCCATGGCACCACACTGTTCACAGCAATCTACAACTCCTGGGCTTAGGTGATTCTCTTGACTCAGCCTAACGAGTAGCTGGGACTACAGGCACCCACCACAATGCCTGGTTATTTTTTGGTTGCAGTTCAGCTGGTGCCAGGTTCGAACATGCCAGCCTTGGTAGGTATATGGGGCCGGCGCCCTCCCACTGAGACACAGGCGCTGCCCTGCTATCCTGTATTTTTTAAGTCAAATCTATCTTTTGAGTAGTTTTAGCTGCACAGCAAAATTAAGCAGAAAGTGCAGAGTCCTATGCATCCCTTTCTGAACAGAGACCTAGCCTCCTCCACTATCCACATCCCCATCAGAGGGTGTGCTTGTTATGGCCAATGAACCCATATGGACACAGCATCCTCACCTACATTGCATAGTATTTATTAGGTTTCACTCTTGGTGTTCTTCATCCTGTGGGTTTGGACAAATGTGTAATGATAGTATCACGCAAAATTATTTTCGCTGCCCTAAAAATCCTATGCGCTCTGCAGATTGATCGCTCCTTTCCCACGTCCTGTATTTTGAGGGGGCCAAAGTTGACAGCCCATAAACTTCTACTTTGACTGTTGGACTACAGAGGCTTTGGGCATCTGGCTGATTTGCTCATCTGAAGGTGTCACAGCTGCAGACCCAGGAGGCCTTAGTACCCAGCTGAGGGCCACAACTTCTACATCCAAGAGGAAGAGAAGCAGTTTACAGCAACAAGAGCTGTAACTTTGCTTTGCAGGGACAAGACCATCTCAAGAGGGTGCCTGTTGAGAAGAGCACTCAGCAATGCTACCCCACGAAAGGCTGAGAGGCAGCCTTTGCCTTTCCAAGGCAGCACACAGTGTGGACAGAGCTGGCCACACTTTCAGCTCTGCTGCACAGCCTCTATAGCTCTTTGCTGGCTGCCCAATCAGCTTCTAGAAATCTAGACAGTATCTTCACAGCAAGGTGGGAAGAACCTGGAGAAGGGTTGTGACAGCATTAGCCTTCAGTGGACCTGAATTTGTTCCTTCACAGGAATGGTCAAGCTACACACATCACACACCCCTCATACAAGCACTCACACATCTCACATTGTCACTCACGCTCTGCACCCCTCATACACACCCCTCACCGCTCAAACATCACTCATCCCTAATCCTAGCACTAAGATGCCCCCCTCATACAGAAACCCACCTCCTTCACGTGGACACCCTCACCCCCTCACACGGCACCCACACCTCTCACACGGGCACCTTCAGCATGCACCTCCAAGCACCATGCACAGCCCTGCTTCCCGCACACCCCACAGCCGGCAGCTTCCACTCATGCATACAAGCTTGACGCCTACAAACTGGGCCAGGCGCCCTCGGTCCGTACGTCGGATGGTTCTACAAATCCCGTGGTGCCCCGGCGGCGTAAGGGGCCTCGGCGCTGAGCCTTCTGGGAATTGTCCAGGTGAGCGACTTGCGGCTGCGGCGCAAGACATGCCGGGAGTGGTGGTCCCGGTGGGCGTGAGCGGGCGGACAGGTCACTGCAGGCGCCTCCAGAAGGGTCCGTCAGCCACGCTGCTGAGGTTGGTTTGCGGGATCGCAGTCCTGGTCGCGGCCAGAGGTGAACACCGTAGACCCCGAAGCCGCAAATGCCCGGACGGCCGGAGCAAGATGTGCGGGACCGACAGATAGACTGTGAGCGCTGGACAGACACGCAGAGTACGTGAGGGTCGGCAAGCGGGTGTGAATGGATCGTCAGGGCGTGTGCGGGACGGAGCGGCGGGGGAGGGGGGCGTGTGTGGAGGGGGGACAGACCAGCGGGAGTGGGGGGGCGATGTGGACTGACCGGCTGCGGGTATGGTGGGACCGACCAGTTGCGTCTGATAGGTTGTGCTTCTGTATGTGGTGTGTGTATCTGACTGACAGGTTGAGAATGTGAGACTGACTGACAGTTTTGGATCATCTGATGTGTGTCTGGCTAACCCATGGAGACTGACAGAAAAGGTTGTCATTTGAAATTTTGTACGTGGGTTGTGTGATAAGTGAGTGAAGAGGTGAGTGTGTGATTATGTGTGATTACAGGTGTGACTGGTGTCTTCAGTATCTGGTTGAATATGGTAACTGAGATGATGAATGACTGTGATAGAATGATACCATGTGATGAAGTACCCTGTTTCCCCAAAAATAAGCCCTAGCAGGATTTCTATGCATTTGTTTAATATAAGCCCTACCCCCATAATGAGACCTAGTGATAAGCCCTAGTGTGTCTTCTTGAGAAAAAATAAATATAAGACAGTGTCTTATTTTCAGGAAAACATAGTACTATGAGGCCTGTGTTTATGTGACTGATTGTTGGAGACACTGAGATATTTTGTGTGCCTGGGTATATTTTGAAGTATGACTGACTGTGTGGGAGTTGTGTATATGTTAAATGTGATTGACTGAGATAGTCAGAGGGACTGAAATTTGAATAATCCACAAAACTTTATCGAGCATTTGACAGAGAATTTGTGCTTTGCCATGTCTGCAGCTGAAGCTGGGTTTATAGATATGTCCCCCAGTGTGAGCTTAAGTGTGACAGGGGGCCATGGAATCATACATTTATTGGATGCCTGTCACGAACTGCCTTAGGTAACCTCATAGACACTTTCTGAGGTCTGTACCATTATCAGGCCTGGTATAAGCTAGAAGTGATAAAGGAAAGAACTATTCTTCTCAGTTGGTTAAGCAGCTATGGATAGGGGATTTCTACCTGATGTGAGGTCAGCATGTTGGAGATGGACTGAGGAGGCTGAGGAAGGTTCACATACATGTGTTTCAGAGACTGTCATCAGGGATTTTCCCAGAATAGAAGTTTCAGGAGTGCAAAAGAGAGTTTGGAAACTGTTGCTGTATTTGTTACTCCTGCCATCCTAGCTCCTCCTCCCTCTCCCCTGAACAATTCCCTACATTTTGTAGATGACCATACTCAGCCTTTCCTAGTCCCTTCATTTGCTCTATGCCTGTTAACTGAGCTACAGGCAAACCCTGGGTACTATGGCTTAGCACACTCAGCCTCTCTGGAGAAGCAAGTTTAAATTACTAAGCCGGGGAAGATAGAACTAGAATACTTTGGAAAAAGGACTTAGTCTACTACCAGGTATCTAGGTTAGCTCCGAAGTAGGGAGCATCTGAGATGAGGGGTGAATCAGTACTTTGTTTCTATTTATCATGAATAATATTCTGTTCTATTGTATGCATATATTTTATCCGTTCGTCAGTTGATGGACATTTGGATTGCTTCTGCTTTTTGGTTGTTATAACCAATGCTATTATGAACATTTGCGTACAAATTTTTATGAAGACATATTCTCATTTCCCTTGGGTATATACCTAGGAGTAGAATTCTTAGGTTATGTGATAAATTTATGGTTAACCTTTTACAGAACTACTAGACTGTTTCCCACAATGGCTATCCCATTTGACATTCCCACCTGCAATCTATGAGGGTTCCAATTTCTACATATCACTGCTAGCATTTGTTACCTAATTATAATCATCTCAACAGGTATTAAGTGATATCTTATTGTGATTTTGATTTGCAATTCCCTGATAGCTAATGACGTTGAGCATTCTTTATGTATTTATTTGCCACTTGCATATTTTCTCTGGAGAAATTGCAAGTCAAATCCTTTGCTCAATTTAAAATTAGATAATTCATCTTTTTTATAGAGTTGTTATAGATACAGGTTCTTTTTTTTTTTTTTTTTTTTGAGACAGAGCCTCAAGCTGTACCCCTAGGTAGAGTGCTATGGCATCATAGCTCACAGCAACCTCCAATTCCTGGGCTCAAGCGAATCTCCTGCCTCAGCCTCCCAAATAGCTGGGACTACAGGCGTCCGCCACAACGCCGGGCCATTTTTTGGTTGCAGCCGTCATTGTTGTTTGGCGGGCCGGGCTGGATCAAACCCGCCACCTTAGGTATATGTGGCTGGCGCCTTAGCCACTTGAGCCACAGGCGCCAAGCCTAGATACAGGTTCTTATCAAGCATATTATTTGCAAATATCTTTTCCCATTCTTTTTCTTTTCATTTTCTTTGATGGGGTCCTTGAATCACAAACTTTTTTTATTTTGATGAAGTCTTGTTTATTTTATCACTTGTCACTTATGCTTTTATGTCATATTTAAAAAGCCTTTGCATTATTTTTAAGTGTGTGGAACATTAACCAAAAAAAAATTTTTTTTTTTTT